TACACTTAATGATTTTCTAAATCATCTCAATGCACAAAACCCGGCCATCCAGTTCACCATGGAAATGGAGGTGAATAACACACTCCCATTCCTAGATATTTTGCTTGGACATGGCCTAAACGGTAAAATAACACACAGCGTTTACAGAAAGCAAACGCACACTGATGCCTATCTGAATGCAGAATCACATCATCATCCAGCTCAAAAATCCTCTCTTATCAAGACGCTCGTACATCGGGCGAAAACAGTGTCAGATGGTGAGAGTCTAGTGAGAGAGATTAAACACGTTAAAGACGCACTACGACAGAATGGCTACAATAATGCTCAAATAACAGAGCACTGAATGCCAAATCACGATCGCAAAGCAATACTACTGAAAGCGACCAGATTGTTAAAACAATAAAAATTCCATATATCTCAGGAGTAACTGACAAATTAGCCCGTGTTTTGCAAAAGCAAAACATTACAGTAAGATTTGGTACAGTACACAAAATTCAAAAACTAGTATCTTGCACTAAAGACGCAATACCTAAACTATCAACAGAAGGTGTATATCGGATTAATTGTTCATGTGGCAGCTGCTACATTGGGCAGACGGGACGTAACATCAGCGTAAGACTAAAAGAACATCAGAGAAATATTAAATTATCTCAAACACAACTGTCGGCAGTGGCAGAACATGCTTGTCAACAAGGACACTCAATTGATTTTGACAATGTTGCAGTGGTGTGTAAAACTAATTATTACTGGCAAAGACTAATTAGAGAATCCATTGAAATTGAGAGGAACAAGAATAACTTTAATCGCTCTGACAGCTACCGGCTTAGTGCGGCCTGGAAGCGTATTATTAAATAATACACATTACATTTTGATTTAAAGAATTACTAATCTACAACTCATTACTAATCATAACCAATGACTGATTACTAATCGATTATATAATTACATTACACCCCCCCCCCTCCGCCTCTAATCACTGCACCTGATGAGTTAAGTGATGACGTCACCCTGCTGCCCTATATAAAACCGGGAGCAAGCGAGGGCTTTACCATTCTGGCGAATTGCCCGATGATGCTGGAAGTATTTACCAGCGAAACGTCGTACTCAAACTGTAAATGTGGATTAGCTCTTCAACACACCGGTGGGCTGAAGTAGTGAATTATTTGTCTTTGTCAACGTGACACTTTTTGCTGATTGGCCGTGTCGGGTGGTGGAGGGTTGCGACACATTTATAAATAAACGCGATCTAACCCAAGAACCTTTATTATGCTACTGTATTCTTGGTTCTTTCGGTAAAGTTACGTAAATAGAAAAACAAATTTGGAAAATAATAAATTGATGAATAAATGCCATTGGTCGACTGACTTAGATGACTGGACCCCCCACAGTGTGTACACACACACAGTGTACACACACACACAGTGTACACACACACAGTTGTTGCTGAGCTCACACACCCAAGGGGTCTCTGATCAAGGGAGGGAGCAAGGGAAAATGAATCTAAATCAACTTAAACTCCAACCCCGCTCTGTGACGTCACCACTCAGCATTACCTCATCGGCGTGAAACGCCAGGGGGAGGTGTACCTCGCTAGTGACGTCATGTCACGAAGGTATTCATCCCACCCGGTCCAAGGCGCCCTTGAGTGTGACGTCACCTCTGCCTGGGTCGCTGCCGTTTTCTGTTCAAGTAGAATCCATACTTGGGCAAGGCCACGCCCAGTGACTGGCGGCTCATTAACATAATTATTTCGTGAAAGCTGTCGCGACGGGTTCAGCACCCACGCCCCATCCCTCTACATATGGGCTTGGTACATTAACATAATTTATTCACCTAGATTATGTCACGTACGGAGCCGCCTATTGTTAGCGATCCCCATAAGTGACGTCATGTCACCTCCTGCTGCCGCGTGACGTCACGAGATAACCGGAAGCTGCTGCTCCGCCCGTGCACTGAAATCCGAGGTGAGAAATTCTCATCGCGGTTGTGGTGGTTGTTGTTGTGGTTGTTGTTGTGGTGGTTGTGGTTGTTGTGGTTGTTGTGGTGGTTGTTTTTGTTTACCGAGGTAGAGCCTCGCTCTCTCTCGTAGGGATGTCAATTGAGTAGCAGCGAGCATGGAAGCGATGTCCAGGTTGAAACTTTACAGCACGGGGCCTAGCCACGCGTGGGCTTGCCTCTTGCCCTCGCCTGATCGCGTTTGCTTCAATTCTCTCGCTTAAGTTTAATTTGTCTTCACGGGGCTCGCCACTTTGTCACTTTGTTTTACTTTTAAATATTCACGCAGTTTTTATTTCATTCTTTTTTACCAGGCCAAGCCCACTTGAGCTGTTGTACCGCTTTTGTTTTCAGAAGCAACCTGCCCACAACACAAGGTGAGGCTCGTCAACAGCGTGGCGGTGTTCACTCTGGACGCGTGGCGGTGTTCACTCTGGACGCGTGGCGGTGTTCACTCTGGACGCGTGGCGGTGTTCACTCTGGACGTGTGGCGGTGTTCACTCTGGACGCGTGGCGGTGTTCACTCAGGGCGCGTGGCGGTGTTCACTCTATACATGTGGAGGGGAAACCGGGGGATCGGGAAGGAAATCAACGCGACCACAGGGAGAGAGAGGGAGACGCAGCCTCGGCTGTGTTGATTGATCCTCAGTACATTACTTGTTGCAGTGAGGAAGCATTAATGCTGAGCATGTGAAGGTGGCCAGGCTTGGGTCTGGACACACCACCACCTGTGAACCATGCCAGTGCATGACAGTGGTGGAGCCAGTGGGGGTAGGGTGGCACGTGCCCCCCCAACGATCCTATCGAAATTAGGGGTTTATTAGTAACTAGCTTCCCTACCCGGCTTCACCCGGGACTTGGATTATTGTCTTGGATTAATTTCATTTTCCCTTATTTCACTGAAAAACCCTGAAAAAATTGATGCTTGCAAGATAGAAAAAAGCTGACAAAAATCAATTTAACTAAATCGGATGTTTTTCGCTGAAGGAAATTTGGCCTTAACCCACTTACACGTAATATCGACTTTGGCAACTCGGGAAGGGAATGACGTGGCAAGCTGAAAATAGTCACGTTCACTTAGAAATTCCAGACAACATAAGCTGTGCAAATTTCATGACGCCAGAGCTCAGCGTTGGAGAGTTTTGCTGCTACACACAAACAAACAGATGTAATTTCTGCTTTATATTTAAGATAGCCGTTGTACCCGTTCTTCGCACGGATGTGTATTGAAACTCCGAGAAACCAATGACTTCATCGGCCAGGAGCAAAGCGCCGCCTAAAATCTCCCAGCACGCTGTGAACAGCTCTAGAAGTACGGCACGCGAAGAGCCATATGGTAGTGGTGAGCATTGCAGAGCGCTTAACTCAGGTGTGTTGTGGGTTGACGCCACAAACTTCATGGTCATACAAAATACAAAAGTATATTTTTATCTTGTTTCATTGTGTACAGTATGGAACCTACCCACATGCCAAATTTCAAGTGTGTAGCATGTTGAGAAGTATGCTAAACATTTCGCACAGACACACACACACGTCCACAAGTTTCCCTTTTATATATAGACTAGCTTTCCTACCCGGCTTCACCCGGGACTTTGATTTTTGTCTTGGATTAAAACACGGCCTTCGCGGAGTGTTGGGGGAGGGATGCGTGACGTCAGCAGGCACACTGCGTAACGCTGACGCATAGGGTGACTTCTCAGATATGACGGCTATTTTAATACTTTGTGCATTGTGTCCAGTCTGGAAGCTATCTACATGCCAAATTTCAAGTTTGTTGCATGTCGGGAAGTATGCTGAACATTTCGAACAGACACACATATCCACACATTTCCTTTTTATATATATAGATAAATCAGCATTTTGCGACCCCCACCGCCACCATGTGGCATATTATTACGTGGCAGGGACTCTATGAGAGGACAACAGTCCGAGTCCATAATTGGCAATAATTAACGGCAAAGCAGTTACAAGCGACTCACAGAATTGTGCGCAGTTGCGTATACAGTACACGACTTCCCTGATGGCAAACACCTTCAGCGAGCACGATGCCTATCACACGCGTTGAATAAAAAGCAAGGGACAAGTCCCTAGTAACAACTCCTTACTAACAACGCCCTACTTACTAACAACTCCTTACTTACTAACAACTCCTTACTAACAACTTCCTACTAACAACTCCTTACTTACGAACAACTCCTTACTTACTAACAACTCCTTACTAACAACTTCCTACTTACTAACAACAACTATCATTTTTCATTGCTGAAGGAGTTGCCCCTCCTACCTGAAAATCCTGGTTCCACCTCAGAGTGTGTGACAGGGTCAAGTTGGTATTTGCAGTAAAGTCTATTAACTCTATTGAGCATGGAGGTTATATCAAAACAGTAGTTTATTTTTGTTTTCCTCTGGAACTCTTTGTAAGAATGGAATCAGGAAGTTATCACAGCACACGTGTAGCTGATGTCAGAACTGTTCATCCCAGCATTCAAGGACATCTGTGCCTGGCTTCACACCTCTAAGTTGCGATTGAACATTAATTTCTGCATTTCTGCATAACACAAATAGTATTATTTTCCATACCCTTTGCCATGTCAGCTGAATTTAGCTTTCATAAATATTCCTTTTGAAGCCACACAGCCGAAATTGTGTGCTCGGAGTTTTGGGTGAACATTCATTTTGAAGATACGAATGCAAACACCTTCAGCGAGCACGATGCCGATCACACGCGTCGCATAAAAAGCATAGGACAACTCCTTATGACATTTGCCCTCTCATTGTGTGCCAAAACAGCCCGTGTGATGAATTGGAGACTATTTTTCACTCTACCATGAATATATGAATAAGTATAGACGTGTAAGTGACGTGTGACTGTGTATATGCATTCCTCTGTGCATCGATACTGACGTGTAGATGGTGTGGATGTTTTTTTCTGTCTGCAGCTGTCGCTTCCTCTGCAGAATTTGTCTGATGGAGCAAAGGCACTCGGCGCGGCTCGGTGCAAACAGCACGGATCGTCCTGCACATTTGACACGGCACCAGAGAACTCACACAGGAGAGAAACCCTTCAAGTGCAGTGTGTGTGGGAAGGCGTTTGCACGTTCATCTGCTCTTGTAGCACACCAGAGAACACACACGGGAGAGAAACCCTTCAAGTGCAGTGTGTGTGGGAAGGCGTTTGCCCAGTCATCTGCTCTTGTAACACACCAGAGAACACACACAGGAGATAAACCCTTCAAGTGCAGTGTGTGTGGGAAGGCGTTTGCACAGTCATCTCCTCTTGTAACACACCAGAGAACACACACAGGAGAGAAACCCTTCAAGTGCAGTGTGTGTAGCAAGGTGTTTTCATATTCATTTACTTTTGTAACACACCAGAGAACACACACGGGAGAGAAACCCTTCAAGTGCAGTGTGTGTGGGAAGGCGTTTGCACATTCAACATATCTTCAAAGACACCAGAGAACTCACACGGGAGAGAAACCCTTCAAATGCAGTGTGTGTGGGAAGGCGTTTGCACGTTCATCACATCTTCAAGTACACCAGAGAAAACACACAGGAGAGAAACCCTTCAAGTGCAGTGTGTGTGGGAAGGCGTTTGCACAGTCATCAAATCTTCAAGTACACCAGAGAACACACAAGCATCAGAAGATCCACAAGGAGTGGAGTCTGCAATCAGCTTGTGAAAGTCAAAGTACCGCAATGAGCCCATCCCTCATGAAACAACCGGAAGAAAATCCCAACTTGGACAATTTTAAAGGTATTGAGGTGAAATATGAAGAGGCGAAGGTGAAATGTGAAGAAGTGATGGTGAAGAGCGAAGAAGTGATGGTAAAATGTGAAGATGAAGATTCAACTCCAAAATTGGGCCTTCACATCAATGGAGGCAACGTGAAGCAAGAGGAGAACTCTGACTGTGAGGCAGAGCGAGGCAACTCCCAGCAGTTTGTGGAAGTGGAGGTGTGGGTGGACTTCCTCCGAGACAATACAAAGTCAAATGGAGACCCGGTAGATGTGTAAGGCAGAGACGATGTCGCTCCAATAGATGCACCTTTGTCACAGGCCTTTAATGACAACAATAAAGTTGAACACTCAATTCCTAGGTTCAACCTGCAGGGTAAGAGCGGCCAGTTTTTGTGGAACAGTGGGTTTGGTAGATCTCGAACCATGAGCGAGAGCCAATACGCTCCCTTCCTACACCTGTGACAACACCGCGCCCAGCCCACTGCTGAAGGCATCGGTGTCCAAAATAAAATTGGTGGAAAGGGTCAGGGAAAGCCAGGGTAGGGGTGTGGGTGAGGTGGTCCTCCGTCCACTGATAGGGATTCTTGGGGGAAGTGAGTTGGGTGAGGGGGCGTGCAATCTCGCTGAATCCCTTGACAAATCGACGACAATAAGTGGCTAGCCCCAAAAACGACCTGATCTCCGTCAGGTTCCTCAGTCTTGGCCATTCCACTACGGCGCGTACCTTCTCCGGGTCGGTGCGCACCCCTGCCTCGCTGACGCCGTGTCCGAGGTACCCAACCTCGCGCTGCGCAAGGTAACACACAGCTTGAGCTTGAGATGGGCTACTCGCAGTCGCTGGAACACCTCCCGTAACCTGGACCAGTGCTCAGACAGAGATCTTCTGAACACTATCACATCATCCAGGTAAATTAGGCACTGTTCCCACTGCAAGACCCCCATCACCAATTCCATCAACCGCTGGAATGTCGCAGGCACGTTAGTGAGTCCGAACGGGAGTATTCGGAACTCGAACAGTCCCATCGGGGTGGTAAACGCGGTCTTTGGCCGATCCTCCTCCACCATCTCCACCTGCCAGTACCCGGACGCTAGATCGAGGGTGGAAAAATACCGCGCCCCTGCGAGGCTGTCAAAGGTGTCATCGATGCGGGGGATGGGAAGGCGTCGCTGAGGGTAGCTGCATTTAACTTTCGATAATCGACGCAAAAGCGGGTCGATCCATCCTTTTTCGTCACTAGTACAACCGGTGTAGAGGTGTGACGGGAGGGGGGACACGCAGTTGTAGGGCAGTGGTTACAACCACGTCCGCTACGGACCACACTGGAGGGCTGTGGGGGATGCTGGGATCCCTCTCGAGCCCCACCCCTGAGTGAGGAACTGTATAAAAGGTGGGACCCGGGGTGCTGGAGTTCAGTTCGGCTCAAGCAAGATGAAGCACCAGTGAAGAAAGAAGATCAACTAGCTAGACCCTGGAACTCCTTTGGCCCGCTGTCCTTTTGAGGGCCGGGCAAAGCAAGCCAGGGTGCGACCCCAGAGCCGCGAGGCCCGATGTCCTTTTAAGGGCCGGACTCGTGTGGCTGGTGGTCGTGACCTACGCCGAAGCTGGGCTAGGTCAGATAGCCTCGGGAGATAGGGCCAGGTTGGAGGGAACCAGGGAACTAGTGTAGGCTTGAGCTCGGGGACCGTTCCCTCTGTAGAGTACGGGTGGAGAGGCCGTTACCCCTCCAAGTATTAGATTCGTTACTGTGATCGAAGTGTTGGTAATAAATACGTGTTGCCTCTACGAACAGTCTCCGACGTCATTGAGGCCACTACACCGGTGCAGAACAGGGGCTCGCCGAGGGCTGGATTATGTTATCACGGAGCATATCCACGACTGCTTCTTTGATCTGGGCCCGTTCAGGCGCGCCCACTCGGTATGCGGGGAGTTTGATGGGTCGGGCTGCACCGGTGTCAATTTGGTGCTTAACGAGGTCTGTCTGGCCCACATCCGAATCGTGCTCACTGAACACGTCGGCGTACTCCCGCAACAACCCGCGCAGCTGATCGGCCTCCCCCTTAGGTAAATCCGCCCAGGGTACATGTAACGCATCACGCAAGGGGGCGACCTCGGCTCGGAGAGTCGGGCCGACCCGCCAGGCCAGGTCCTGGTTGTCCTCGGGGCGACCGGGGTCCTCAGCCCAGAGTGCAAACACCGAGTCGTTAGAGTGGCGCGCGTGCAGGGGGTGTATGGTGGATACCGTGGTGCGTCGTCATAGCATTGCCGGGGTACTGTGTGGGTTAAACACCCGCATAAACAGTCGGCCCCCATCTGCGTTTACCAGCGTGGCTGATCCCACCACTCCGTACCGCGCTGCCAACTCCGGGTGAGGAGTCAGCATTACCTCGCCCGATGGTCGATGTGCGGGGTCAGTGGAGGGTGCTGCCATGGGCACCAGCATCTCGGCGAGCGGCCCGATGGTGACGGCCGACACCAGGGTAGCGGCCACGGGTGTGAAGCGGAATCCGCTCCCCGCTGCCTTCCACGGTGGCGCATCGCTGGCGGGGCTGCACGTTGAGCCCCAACTTTTCCAGGAGGTCAGTACCTGCGATACACTCGTGGCATAACACGCTCGAGACACAGAACTCTTGGTCACACACCTGGCGTCCGAGATGGACTTCCAGGGTGACCCTCCCCAGAGGTCCCATCCCGGCTCCGCTCGCCGTGTGCAGCGCGCGATCCGGGGCCTGCAGGCGGCCCACGTCAACCCCGAGCACGCTGCAGTGCGCGGCGCTCACGAGTGAGGCCACCGCCCCCGTGTCCAACAGAATCCGGGTGCGCCGCCCGTTCACCTGTCCTTCCACCAGCGACGTGGCCCCCGTGATTCCCGCCACCAGCTCCCGCAGCCAGTCGCCCGTCCTCACCGCCTCCTTGGGTGTTGTTGCCGGAATCTGTGTGGAGGTCACTCGCTCGCCATTATTATTGTCTTTTTGTGTTGGGACCGTGTCGATTGCACCCCTAGTTGGTTCACTCCCTAGAGTTTAACCCTGGCGCGTGTCTAGCGTGGGCCATCTGAGGACAGTCTCTCACGAGATGCCCTCGACAGTCGCACAGGTAACACGCCCGGGGAAGGGCGGCGGCCCCTAGGGGCTTCCCCGCCCACTCCCTACTTCCCCTCCAGTACGCCGCTGCCCAGACTCTGCCTCTAGTCGGGCCACCCTCCCGGTTAGCCCTCCTACCGTGGAGCGTAGTTCACCCATCTCGGACTGGATCGTCTCCACGGTAGACTGCAGTTTGGTGATATGGCCGCGCACTTGGGTCACCTCCCCGCTAACTCGGTTCACCTCCCCGCCAACTTGGGCCACCTCCCCGCCAACTTGGGCCACCTTGTTGTCTATCCTCCCGATGCCCGTCTGTATCCCCACTACCCAGCCCGGGGTTGTGTCGCGGGGTCCCGGGGGCTCCCTTGCCCACCCCCTTACCGTCCTGGCGAGCTCCTCCTCCTCCTCTTCCTCCTCTGGGAGTAGGCTCGCGATGGCACGCTCTCGTCCCAGCCCCCCGAAGCTTTGCTCGCGCTCACTAGACAGTCTCTCGCATTCATGCGCACGCTCGACAAGGGCGTTAAAGGGTAGACGTGCACAGCTTACATCGGGCTGCCACCACGAGGTGCGAGCCAAGTACCGCTGGATCTTCTCGGCGGCGAGGTCCTCAATCGCCTCGGTCGTGTACCCCGGGCGTACGATCTTTGTTAGCGCGCGCACATCATCGGCATAGTTAGAAAAGTCCTCGCCGGGTTGGCGGCGGCACGCCTCTAAGGCTGCCTTTGCCTCCTCATCACGCGCACCGAAGCGCAGATCAAGTCGGCGCATCAACTCCTCTGATTGGGTTTGCGCGCTTGCGGGTAGGGCCTCCACAAAGTCGGCCGCCCGCCCGCCCATCCAGGTTCATAGCAAGTCGGCGTAACGCCTGCGCGTCCGTCCAGCCATTAATGTCTTTAGCCCCTATGATGTTGCGGGCAAACGCTTTCCGTGAAGGGGTCCCCTGGCCGGTGAACACATTCCTTAATTTTGCATGTGGTGCTACGCACCTCTCCCGTGGGGATGTGGGGGTTCGTACCACCAATTTGTGGGGGCTTATGCCCCCCTCCCCACTCCCCATTACGTGGGGGCTGATCTCTCACTCTCCACGAGCGAGAGTGGGGGGGGGGGTGATGTTTGCCTCCACCACCCCCGTCCCCTCCGCGTTTGCGTCTTTCGGGGTCTCCCGAGCGGGTGACCGCCCCCCCCCCCCCTCCCGTACCAGGGTCCTCTCGGACCGACATAGCTGGCGGCTGGCCGACCCCGCCTAGGGTTTGATTACGCCCCGCGTGCCTTCGCCCACTCGCGGGTCCTAACTGCCTGGATTTCGCAAGTGTTTGACTCGCCGCTGTGTGGGGGTGTAATTCATAATTTCCACTAATCCGTTGTGTCAAAAAGGCAAACGCTCCCGCGCGGTCCGAGTATAAATAAATTAATCGTACCAGGTGGTCCCTCCTCGAGACCCTACGGGGGTGCATGTGAGTGTTTAGTGGGGCGTGCGTTCGTGGGGGTGGGGGGGTGCGAGGAGGGGGTAGCGCCGGCCGAGTTGCTCCGCTGCGGTGACACTACAGCCTCTTCACCCGTTCTACAGAGGGAAGTATTTCCCAAGCTAACACCCCAAGTTAACTCCTCTACTTCCCTCTATCCTACGATCCTCCTCTCAAGGAGACTAATTGACCTGGCCCAGCTTCGGCACAGGTCTCGACCACCAGCCACACGAATCCGGCCATGAAAAGGACATCGGCCTTCGCGGCTCTGGGGTTGTACCACTGGTTTGCTCTGCCCGACACAGAACCCACACAGTGTACACACAGTTTGTACACACACACACAGTCCACAC